TGACGCGAAAGAAAACTTACCGGCCGCGCGAAGCGCGCAGCAATTTTTTTCTCGCGGTCTTATTTCGCGTCACGCACGACGGACTAAGCGAAAGAGGGACTACTCATAGTCTATGATTCGTTGGGTCACGTGACCTTTTATCAATGTTTGATTGGATTAAAAGAAAATTGAAAATGTGGTGGCGAGATGCCATAGAACGGATATAACTTGAAGCTTTATGGTAATTGTTTTGTTGTCCCTTATATGGTTCAGGCCGGAATGGTTGGCAGTGATGTATCGTTTAAAGCCTTGGTCAAACGGCGCATGATAGTCGATGAGAGTTGATGATAGTCGGTGAAAATTCGGGGAGAATCATTCAACTAAGATCATCGACTATCATGCACCGTTTGGCCAGGCTTTTACAAACGGTGCATGATAGTCGATGATAGTTGAATGATTCTCCCCGAATTTTCACCGACTATCATCAACTATCATCGACTACCATCGACTATCATGCGCCGTTTGACCAAGGCTTAAGAGATAAATACTAAAACGGGTCACGCGACATATATAACAAATTAGACCATTCCGGGCACGGATAGTTTCTTTGGGTAAAGGCAAAGAATAAGGGATATCTTTTCCTTCGCCTAAGTTAACCTTTCCCCACGCCACTTGAGATTTTACTATCGCTCGGATTATGATGTCATTAGACACGTGACCACCATAAAAATATCTTAAGCGATTTAAGGACGCCAAATTCCTATATAATATGTACTTAGGTACTAGTTAGTTATACAAGACCCCTCAGTCATGTAATGCTTTTATTCTCATCGTGTTTAAATAAAGGATCTTACTTACTTACCGGAAGCTTTAGTAACCGATATGACTTTTTGTCAGTGATCAATCATGTCTTACTGCGAACAACTCAAAAAGGCTTTTTAAGCTTACTGGTGACATTTGAAATAGGCATGTTTCATGTAATACTAGAGCCCATCACTATGGGTGTGCAACTCCCATACTAAGCCTATGTCAATTTCTACAGACAGGTCTATTTTTAGATAAGCTTCTTTTCCCGCGAAATAGGTCAGTTCCGGTTTACATGGGCGCGCATCGGTAAGGAAACAATTGGCGGCCTCAGTTGGACTTGTCCACTTAATCTTCCGGTGAAATGATGACGTCAAGTCCGTGCTTGTGATTGGTCACTGAAGTTCCTGCTGGGGTCTGAATTCGCGGTAAATTCAAACTAAAAATGGATCGGTCTGTGAAAACGCCGTGACAGGAATATGGCTATGGCTACACGCTCCTAGTGGTGGGCTCCTGGTAATACATATTTCAAGGAAGGTCAAAAATATTTTACGGAGTTCTTACAAAAAAACTAAATGTTTATACACAGAGCAGAGAGCAGGCCCCAGGCTTAGCAAAAAGGCGAATAGCTAAGGTTCAGAGCAAACAATGGGCTTTGTCAGTCCAAAGAATCAGGTACAGCGCATGTGTTAGCAAACCTTTGCTCACTAGGGCAACCGTCGACCATTAACCAAAAACTACTTATTTAAATTCACAACGGCTGTTGCCGTGTAGGCCCTTAAACCGGATTACGATATCTTAAGCGCAGTTAATGTAAGAAGGAATTTTTACCATAATACTCTCTTTTTTATGTAAGAATATATTTTATAAGAATATCGAGACTGAAATTTGCGAAATCGTAAGCCGAATATCTTAAGAATACACCCGACGCTGAAAATTTGAAAGGAATACGATTTTGTATGTTGAAAATTTGTAAATACAGTACAATTATAGGTTATTAACTAAATAAACCGTATAAAATTTTTCCGTTCACTAAACGGCAAAACTAGCCAAAAAGCAACAAAAACAGCACTAGCCGTATTTTCGATGCTGATAACATTTCTGCAGGACGCTATGTGCGTCACTCAGGCTGGCTCCAAAATTACTTTAACACCATCCAGACACCGTATACATTCGAAAACATCAATGTCAGACGCAATAATCTAAGAATACTCACAATAATATTTTCAGTCTAAAATCGGCAGAAAAATAAGAATATTCAGCCTCGGCCGGAAAAGAAAAAACAATATTCTTATAAAAAAAAGGAGTGTATGAACTTTTTGATACCTCATCCAGCTGCCAATTTATAATTGACGTGTGTGACCAAAGGTTTTGTCGCGGCCCCCTCCAAATCGGGGAAACGGGCGTTGAGGGGCCTAACTGGCTGGAAGTGTGCTTGACGTTAAGAAATGAATCGACTCAGGGAATTCGCTTGCTGCTGGAGAGGAACTTGTCACGGGTTCCAAAATATACCGTCGGATCTGCAACAACTGGAAATAAGGACACTGGTAGAACTAGGACTTCACGTTTATTCTTCTTTCTTCAACTTCGACGCAAAATCTTAGATGTAAATCGTGGAAATGTAAATCCGGCGTTGAACGAGGATAAGAGTATTCTATTTGTACTAACAAATACAAGATTGCATCACGTTAGAGACAAAAGAAAGAGCTAGGGCTAAACAAAGCTAGCTTGAAACGCGAAAGTACGTGAATATACTCAGCTGCATATAGAGTAAAGCCAACTTATTAGGCCTTATAAAATCAGCTGACGAATGGCGATCTCAACAAAACTAGTGTAGTGTTTCCAGTGTACATCTGCAGAACGGATGTCCAACCTAGGAGTAATATATCAAACACGAAAGAGCGTGTTGCGAAAGTACGCACTGATCGTGCGCCAAAGAACGCACTGAAGTGGAATGCGGGAAAGGTTTAATGCTATTTACCCAGATGATCTAAAGTTTGCTGAAAGTAAAATATTTAGTGCACTATTCGCAGGGGCGTGGCCAGGATATTTCAAAGAGGGGGGAGGGGGTCACGCTGTATCAAAGTGAGGGTACTCACCAGATTGTCATGTCGTTTTCGCCACATGTTGTAAGTTGTTTGCTTAAAAAGGCTTACAAAAGGGCGTCACGGGTACCCCAGGATCCT